CCTCCCGACCCAAGAGGAGGGGTAGCAGGTCACGGTTGACCAGGGTATCCAGGCGCTCTAGTAACGCAGGCGGGCAGGATGCCACTCGGAGCACGTAGCGCCACTTGGAGTAGACACCCTGCAGCGTGGCGTAAACTGCATGAGGCTGAGTACGGGCCACAGATACCAGGTTCACCACCTGCCTGCACCAGGCGGATACCGCCTCCTCAAGGTACGCGGCCTTGAAGCTTCCTGTGCCGAGCACTCCTCCCAGATATCGACAACCGGAGGTGATGATTTTGATGCCGGTGCCGGCGAACAGGGTGGACGCCTCCTCCAAACACTCCTCCTTGACCAGCAGCACCGTTTTTGTTGGGTTAGGGGTATATCCGTAGGCCGGGCCAAGCTCCTTCACACTGTTCCAATAGCGCAACAGAGACCGGACACGGCCAGCGGCGGAATCGTCGTCAGCGTACCACTCCTGCACGATATCGGGGCAGAGCTCTCCCAAGCGGCGTATGAGAGGCGTTATGGCCACAGCGTATATTCCCATCGCCAAGGGATCGCCCTGACAGGTACCCTCGCGCGACAGCACTTCGCCACCACCAGCAACAAACAATCGGCTTGGCGAACGGTAGGTGTTGTGGAAGATCTGGCCAAGCGGCGGGCAGACCACGGGTACATTATGCATGGCGACGGCACGGTTCAGCGAGTTGAAAGCGTTCCCTGCATCCACCAGTAGGATCGCCTCAGTCGCTGGTTGCTCAAAGAGGTGCTCCATGGCATGTACCGCAGCCTCGCAGCCAGATGGGACACCCGCGCACAGCTGCAGAGGAGCCGTGACCATGAGCATGTCAGGCTCTATCACTCGGGCGACAGCCTTGCAGACGATCCTACGGAACACCTCACCCACTGCGATTGGCCGCACGCCCGGGTTCTTATTGAGCGGAATCAGCCGGGCCGCAGTGAAGGCTGCCAAGGAATCCGGGTCAACATCCTCCCTGCACAGAAGCCTGGCGGTCTCCGCCATGGAAGAAGCCAGCCGGTCCGAACAAGCTCCGTAGCATGTCAGCATTCGCTGCCAAGCCTCTGCGTCAAGGCCAGACGGGCCGGATGAGCCAGACATCTCGCGAGCGACGCGTTTAATCAAGGCGGGTGTCAGCCTCTCAAACAGAATGGGATCACATTCAGGCCTGTCCGCCGCATCCACCAGAACGCTCGGGTCAGGGCTAGCAGGTGATGGGTGCTTTTCGAGAAGTGCATCTCTCACGGTCTTCCCAGTGTCGGCGTCCATGACCTCATCCATCGCCAATACCCCACCGGACGAGGCTGATGAGGCGAGACGAATGGCCGATTGTATTCTGCCGGAGAAGACCAGCTTGCTGAATCTCATATCATCAATTTGCCCATCTGCCTCCCGAGGCCCAGAGTCCCGAAGAGGGGGCAAATGTGCCTGGAGGCACCGTCCCTCGCGCAGCAGCTCACCAATCCGCCCAGATTCCCATAGGCCGAGACGCCGATCAAGGTGCGGTGCCGAAGCCCCGTACTGGGTAGCACATGGCTTCTGTAGGAGCAACTGGGAAGCCACGACCACAGCCGCCCAGGCATGCCGGCGCGCTGCACCACCAACAGCAAACGAGTGCATGAGGTCAGCCAGTAGAGCCACAAACCGCCGACCCACGGCTCCATGTGGCACAATAAATAGATTCCGACGCCACGTGATGACCTCCTCATATGCGCTGAGAACAGACTCAGTAGTAACAGCAGCAGCAGCAGCAGCAGGATCCGGTCCCGGATCCGGCACAGAACCACGTGCACCAGGGGCGTTAGAAACCGGCTCTGATCCAACAGCAGAGCGCGGTGCCACATCCGGGGCTCCAGGCCACGGAACAGGCTCCGAAACTGGGGCACTGTCATCCCTCGAACTGGGATCCCTGGAATCACGGCTGGGGACATTCATCGCCGCAATGCGTCCCGGTCTGGGGACATTCATCGCCGCAATGCGTCCCGGTACATGAGCCACCGGAGACCTGGAGGCCGACCCATCCCGAGCATGACTCCTGCCCCTTCCGACAGCGCCAGGTGATGAGCGGCGCCGCCTGCCCAAAAAGCCTGGCCTCTCAGGAGATCTATCCGAATGGAATGCTGGATTCGGATCTGCAACCGGCACAATCGGAACCAGCTGAGCATTACCAAAATTGCGGCACCTACCCGCGCGACCAGGGTAGCAGCTCTCGCAGGCCCTGGCTGACACAGCACACGAGCAGCCACGGCAGCTCCCAGTCGACTTGCTGCACACACAGCATGGCTTCGATCCACCAGCGGGCTGTGACATGCCACCAGAGCGCTAGAGTAGTACTAGTAGTAGTAGAGATTGATCACAACTGCACAGTGCACACGGTACCCATGCACACGATAACCATGGCGAGAAAGCTGATTACTAAGATCCGACGCGCTCCACAAGCTGGAGATGTGTGTGCGACGGCACCCGCCAGCACTGGGCGCAATGAGCTGCGACACCAGCAAGGCAACGCTGGTACTGTAATACGGCTGGGACTAGAATATTCTAGAAATTTCGCAAAACTCTCGATGCTCTCCAAGTCCCTAACTGAAGGGACTACCGCTGAAAGGATAATGACCAGGCTAGATAGCTAGCACGCTAGATATCGACGAGCACCGCAAGCCAAGGAACCGAGGGAAATGCACACTGGGCACTCAAATTCAAAGAACACGGGAGCACTGAAAAGTGCATCCACCTCCGACCTAGTAGTAGTAGTAGTAGTAGTAGTAGTAGTAGTAGTAGTAGTAGTAGTAGTAGTAGTAGTAGTAGTAGTAGTAGTAGTAGTAGTAGTAGTAGTAGTAGTAGTAGTAGTAGTAGTAGTAGTAGTAGTAGTAGTAGTAGTAGTAGTAGTAGTAGTAGTAGTAGTAGTAGTAGTAGTAGTAGTAGTAGTAGTAGTAGTAGTAGTAGTAGTAGTAGTAGTAGTAGTAGTAGTAGTAGTAGTAGTAGTAGTAGTAGTAGTAGTAGTAGTAGTAGTAGTAGTAGTAGTAGTAGTAGTAGTAGTAGTAGTAGTAGTAGTAGTAGTAGTAGTAGTAGTAGTAGTAGTAGTAGTAGTAGTAGTAGTAGTAGTAGTAGTAGTAGTAGTAGTAGTAGTAGTAGTAGTAGTAGTAGTAGTAGTAGTAGTAGTAGTAGTAGTAGTAGTAGTAGTAGTAGTAGTAGTAGTAGTAGTAGTAGTAGTAGTAGTAGTAGTAGTAGTAGTAGTAGTAGTAGTAGTAGTAGTAGTAGTAGTAGTAGTAGTAGTAGTAGTAGTAGTAGTAGTAGTAGTAGTAGTAGTAGTAGTAGTAGTAGTAGTAGTAGTAGTAGTAGTAGTAGTAGTAGTAGTAGTAGTAGTAGTAGTAGTAGTAGTAGTAGTAGTAGTAGTAGTAGTAGTAGTAGTAGTAGTAGTAGTAGTAGTAGTAGTAGTAGTAGTAGTAGTAGTAGTAGTAGTAGTAGTAGTAGTAGTAGTAGTAGTAGTAGTAGTAGTAGTAGTAGTAGTAGTAGTAGTAGTAGTAGTAGTAGTAGTAGTAGTAGTAGTAGTAGTAGTAGTAGTAGTAGTAGTAGTAGTAGTAGTAGTAGTAGTAGTAGTAGTAGTAGTAGTAGTAGTAGTAGTAGTAGTAGTAGTAGTAGTAGTAGTAGTAGTAGTAGTAGTAGTAGTAGTAGTAGTAGTAGTAGTAGTAGTAGTAGTAGTAGTAGTAGTAGTAGTAGTAGTAGTAGTAGTAGTAGTAGTAGTAGTAGTAGTAGTAGTAGTAGTAGTAGTAGTAGTAGTAGTAGTAGTAGTAGTAGTAGTAGTAGTAGTAGTAGTAGTAGTAGTAGTAGTAGTAGTAGTAGTAGTAGTAGTAGTAGTAGTAGTAGTAGTAGTAGTAGTAGTAGTAGTAGTAGTAGTAGTAGTAGTAGTAGTAGTAGTAGTAGTAGTAGTAGTAGTAGTAGTAGTAGTAGTAGTAGTAGTAGTAGTAGTAGTAGTAGTAGTAGTAGTAGTAGTAGTAGTAGTAGTAGTAGTAGTAGTAGTAGTAGTAGTAGTAGTAGTAGTAGTAGTAGTAGTAGTAGTAGTAGTAGTAGTAGTAGTAGTAGTAGTAGTAGTAGTAGTAGTAGTAGTAGTAGTAGTAGTAGTAGTAGTAGTAGTAGTAGTAGTAGTAGTAGTAGTAGTAGTAGTAGTAGTAGTAGTAGTAGTAGTAGTAGTAGTAGTAGTAGTAGTAGTAGTAGTAGTAGTAGTAGTTGCATGCCCGTAGGCATTGTTATTAGGTGATGATTTCGTGTGAAGCTTTTGAGTTCAAAGTTTTATATTTCAATTGAGTGTTCTATTTTATTCCGAAATTGGGTTGTCTTTTTGCTTTGACTCTTACTTCATGGTGTTGTGAATAAAACCGTTCTCAAGTAGTAGTAGTAGTAGTAGTAGTAGTAGTAGTAGTAGTAGTAGTAGTAGTAGTAGTAGTAGTAGTAGTAGTAGTAGTAGTAGTAGTAGTAGTAGTAGTAGTAGTAGTAGTAGTAGTAGTAGTAGTAGTAGTAGTAGTAGTAGTAGTAGTAGTAGTAGTAGTAGTAGTAGTAGTAGTAGTAGTAGTAGTAGTAGTAGTAGTAGTAGTAGTAGTAGTAGTAGTAGTAGTAGTAGTAGTAGTAGTAGTAGTAGTAGTAGTAGTAGTAGTAGTAGTAGTAGTAGTAGTAGTAGTAGTAGTAGTAGTAGTAGTAGTAGTAGTAGTAGTAGTAGTAGTAGTAGTAGTAGTAGTAGTAGTAGTAGTAGTAGTAGTAGTAGTAGTAGTAGTAGTAGTAGTAGTAGTACTACTACTACTACTACTACTACTACTACTACTACTACTACTACTACTACTACTACTACTACTACTACTACTACTACTCCAAGCGGCTTGGGCTGTGGACTGCCGGTGATCTCTCTCCATTGCTACGGGAGTCCCGATGCATTCAGGCTCATCTCTCTGATGCAGCCGTGGGTGATTCGAGTCCACGTGCTTTGGACGATGTTCGCTTAGCGAACATGGTTTTCAATGACCGAGTTGGCAGTGCTGCCCAATACCTGGATGCTGATGGTGCTGGTGGCGTTCTTCCCCTGGGTGAAGAGGTGAGTGGGAAGTCAGTTCTAGAGCACCTGCGGGATAAGCACCCTGCTCCCCAGCCGGCTGATCCAGACATCCTACTGGACTGTAGCCCCGACCCCCCGGATCCAGTTATGTTTGAGGCGATAACACCAGCAGCTATGAAGAAGACGATATTGGGAATGAAGGGAGCTGCTGGACCTTCGGCTTTGGATGCGGCTGCCTGGCGTCGGATGGTTGGCATGTTCAAGTCAGCTTCTGACGAGCTCTGTTCGGCCCTCTCTCGCGTGGCCAAATGCCTGTGCACGGAGAGGCTGGACGCTTTGCATCTGCGCCCGTTTCTGGCAGCGCGACTGATACCACTGGATAAGCGATCTGGCGTGCGGCCCATCGCTGTGGGTGAGGTGTTTCGGCGTGCAGTTGGCAAGGCAATCATGAAGGCGATTGAGAAGGATGTGGTGATTGCGACGGCGCCAACCCAGCTGTGCGTCGGGATACCATCGGCATGTGAAGTGGCTGTGGAGGCGCTGTCATCGGTATTTGCCAAGGATGAGTCAGAGGCAATACTCCTCGTCGACGCCACTAACGCCTTTAATTCAGTGAACCGGGCAGCTGCACTGAACAACATACCACGCGTGTGCCCAGCTGCAGGGCGGGTATTTGTGAACACGTACCAAGCGGATATCCCCCTGTACCTGGATGGTGGCGAGACACTCTACTCAAGAGAGGGCACGTGCCAAGGAGATCCACTGGCCATGGCATTTTATGCTTTGGCTACCGGCCCTCTGGCCAAGCATCTGTCCACAACATGCAGTGGTTCCATGCAGGTGTGGTATGCTGACGACGATGCCGCTGTGGACCGCGTTGTGGCACTCGGTGAGTACTGGAACTGCATCTCGGCTGAGGGCCCGAAGTATGGCTACAAGCCTAATGCTGCCAAGACCGTGCTCCTCGTCAAGAGCCATCTGGTGTCAGACGCTGAGCGGGTATTTGCTGGCACTGGCATCCGGATTTGCTCTGATGGCGTCCGGTATCTCGGTGGAGTCATCGGCGGCACTGAGTTCTGTGGTGGGTTTGTGAGAAGCCGTGTGGGTGACTGGTGTGCTTTAACCAAGAGGCTGGCGAGTGTTGCAGAGACCCAGCCCCACGCGGCTTACCACTTATTCATCTCTGCCATTCAGTCTCGGTGGTCATACTTGCAGCGCGTTGCTAATGCTGACGGGGCACTCTACGCACCCCTGGATCGCGTCCTAAATGAACAGCTGCTGCCTGCATTCACGGGCCATTCTGTGCCGGTTGAGGGAGGTTTGCGAGCACTGCTTTCCCTTCCAGCGAAGCTTGGTGGTCTTGCGGTCCGTAGCAATGTGTCACGGGCGGCTGCTGAGCGCACCTTGTGCCGAGACGCCATTGCACCCATGGTGGAGTTGGTAGTCGGTGGCACCTCCACGCATGAGGTGTCGTCTGTGGTAACAGCATGCAGGACATTGGCTGCAGGTGCTCGGGCGGCGCGCCGTGTTCAGCAGCGGAACTTGGCAGAGGAGATCCGATCCGGCCTCCCGCCCACGCAACGGCTACTGGTAGAGGTCGCAGGTGAAGATGGCGTCTCAAGTTGGTTGACGACTCCACCTGCGACTACAATGCCTGGGACCGTTTTCAGCAGGACGGATTTCCGTGATGCTGTGGGCCTACGATATGGCCTTCCCTTGGAAGGTTTGCCAGCATCATGCGTGTGTGGCAAAGACATGACAAGCCACCACGCTATGACATGCCCCTGTGGCGGGTACCCAACGCGACGTCACAACGAGGTTCGGGACCTGCTGGCTAGTGCCATGTCCGAGGTGGCGTATGATGTCGAGTTGGAGCCTGTTCTGCTGCCTCTCGATGGTGAGACGGTCTCAGGTATTAGAGCTGATGCCGCTCGTGCAGACATACGGGCTCGCGGTTTCTGGACGCGACAGCAAAACGCCTTCTTTGATGTTCGGGTTACCCACCCAAGGCCGTCTTTGCTGTCGCGTTCGGGAGTAGCGAGCCAGTTGTCTGACAACGAGAGGCAGAAGAAGCGCCAGTACTCGAGCCGGATCAACAACGTCGACCGCGGTTCGTTCACGCCGTTGGTTTTCGCCACCAATGGGCAGTGTGCGCCGGAGGCGTCAATATTCCTGAAGTCGTTAGCAGCTCAAATCAGTGAGAGGAACCGTGATCTCCCCTACTCACTGATCATGCGCCAGCTTCGTGCCCGGATCAGTGTGTGCCTGATTCGCTGGCAAATAACTTGTCTGCGGGGGTCACGGCACTCGTACCGCGGAAGGCTCATGGGTGCTGGTCATGGCGGTTTTGTGGTGGAGTGCAGGGCCCGTGCTCACCTAGCTGTTTAGCATGCCTGACCTAACTGTTTCATGATATTGTCTGTATTTTTGTTGTAGCAATTTTGCTATTATATGTTGGTCATGATTTGATGGTTGACTTACCCGTTTTCTTTGTGTATCTTATCTGGTTTTCTCTTGTCTGGGTTTTTGGATGAGTTGGGTAAACGGTGCTGCTTTGATTGTGTTTGCGGATGCGGGTTTACTCTTTGTTTTGGTATTCAATAGTTGACTTGATTCTTTTATTTTATTTTCTTATTGGATTTTCCGATTTATTTGATTTGATTTTCCTATCTACGATATACTTGATTTGATTTGTCACCGTTGCCTTCTTTGCTTCCGTTTTTTGAATTCTTCATTCCGGCACCCAGTTTGTTATCAAATAAAGTCAACGTTCTCAGTAGTAGTAGTAGTAGTAGTAGTAGTAGTAGTAGTAGTAGTAGTAGTAGTAGTAGTAGTAGTAGTAGTAGTAGTAGTAGTAGTAGTAGTAGTAGTAGTAGTAGTAGTAGTAGTAGTAGTAGTAGTAGTAGTAGTAGTAGTAGTAGTAGTAGTAGTAGTAGTAGTAGTAGTAGTAGTTTGTTATCAAATAAAGTCAACGTTCTCAGTAGTAGTAGTAGTAGTAGTAGTAGTAGTAGTAGTAGTAGTAGTAGTAGTAGTAGTAGTAGTAGTAGTAGTAGTAGTAGTAGTAGTAGTAGTAGTAGTAGTAGTAGTAGTAGTAGTAGTAGTAGTAGTAGTAGTAGTAGTAGTAGTAGTAGTAGTAGTAGTAGTAGTAGTAGTAGTAGTAGTAGTAGTAGTAGTAGTAGTAGTAGTAGTAGTAGTAGTAGTAGTAGTAGTAGTAGTAGTAGTAGTAGTAGTAGTAGTAGTAGTAGTAGTAGTAGTAGTAGTAGTAGTAGTAGTAGTAGTAGTAGTAGTAGTAGTAGTAGTAGTAGTAGTAGTAGTAGTAGTAGTAGTAGTAGTAGTAGTAGTAGTAGTAGTAGTAGTAGTAGTAGTAGTAGTAGTAGTAGTAGTAGTAGTAGTAGTAGTAGTAGTAGTAGTAGTAGTAGTAGTAGTAGTAGTAGTAGTAGTAGTAGTAGTAGTAGTAGTAGTAGTAGTAGTAGTAGTAGTAGTAGTAGTAGTAGTAGTAGTAGTAGTAGTAGTAGTAGTAGTAGTAGTAGTAGTAGTAGTAGTAGTAGTAGTAGTAGTAGTAGTAGTAGTAGTAGTAGTAGTAGTAGTAGTAGTAGTAGTAGTAGTAGTAGTAGTAGTAGTAGTAGTAGTAGTAGTAGTAGTAGTAGTAGTAGTAGTAGTAGTAGTAGTAGTAGTAGTAGTAGTAGTAGTAGTAGTAGTAGTAGTAGTAGTAGTAGTAGTAGTAGTAGTAGTAGTAGTAGTAGTAGTAGTAGTAGTAGTAGTAGTAGTAGTAGTAGTAGTAGTAGTAGTAGTAGTAGTAGTAGTAGTAGTAGTAGTAGTAGTAGTAGTAGTAGTAGTAGTAGTAGTAGTAGTAGTAGTAGTAGTAGTAGTAGTAGTAGTAGTAGTAGTAGTAGTAGTAGTAGTAGTAGTAGTAGTAGTAGTAGTAGTAGTAGTAGTAGTAGTAGTAGTAGTAGTAGTAGTAGTAGTAGTAGTAGTAGTAGTAGTAGTAGTAGTAGTAGTAGTAGTAGTAGTAGTAGTAGTAGTAGTAGTAGTAGTAGTAGTAGTAGTAGTAGTAGTAGTAGTAGTAGTAGTAGTAGTAGTAGTAGTAGTAGTAGTAGTAGTAGTAGTAGTAGTAGTAGTAGTAGTAGTAGTAGTAGTAGTAGTAGTAGTAGTAGTAGTAGTAGTAGTAGTAGTAGTAGTAGTAGTAGTAGTAGTAGTAGTAGTAGTAGTAGTAGTAGTAGTAGTAGTAGTAGTAGTAGTAGTAGTAGTAGTAGTAGTAGTAGTAGTAGTAGTAGTAGTAGTAGTAGTAGTAGTAGTAGTAGTAGTAGTAGTAGTAGTAGTAGTAGTAGTAGTAGTAGTAGTAGTAGTAGTAGTAGTAGTAGTAGTAGTAGTAGTAGTAGTAGTAGTAGTAGTAGTAGTAGTAGTAGTAGTAGTAGTAGTAGTAGTAGTAGTAGTAGTAGTAGTAGTAGTAGTAGTAGTAGTAGTAGTAGTAGTAGTAGTAGTAGTAGTAGTAGTAGTAGTAGTAGTAGTAGTAGTAGTAGTAGTAGTAGTAGTAGTAGTAGTAGTAGTAGTAGTAGTAGTAGTAGTAGTAGTAGTAGTAGTAGTAGTAGTAGTAGTAGTAGTAGTAGTAGTAGTAGTAGTAGTAGTAGTAGTAGTAGTAGTAGTAGTAGTAGTAGTAGTAGTAGTAGTAGTAGTAGTAGTAGTAGTAGTAGTAGTAGTAGTAGTAGTAGTAGTAGTAGTAGTAGTAGTAGTAGTAGTAGTAGTAGTAGTAGTAGTAGTAGTAGTAGTAGTAGTAGTAGTAGTAGTAGTAGTAGTAGTAGTAGTAGTAGTAGTAGTAGTAGTAGTAGTAGTAGTAGTAGTAGTAGTAGTAGTAGTAGTAGTAGTAGTAGTAGTAGTAGTAGTAGTAGTAGTAGTAGTAGTAGTAGTAGTAGTAGTAGTAGTAGTAGTAGTAGTAGTAGTAGTAGTAGTAGTAGTAGTAGTAGTAGTAGTAGTAGTAGTAGTAGTAGTAGTAGTAGTAGAATCATTTCCTTTAACTATATTCAACAAGTCTGATTTTCGAGACGCATTGTGCCTGAGGTATGGCCTGCCGCTTGATGGCATATCATTATCCTGTGTTTGTGGCCAAGACATGTCAGTTCATCACGCCCTCACGTGCCCAAGCGGGGGATACCCTACCCAGAGACATAATGAACTTCGCGACCTCCTAGCGGACGCACTCGCTAGTGTTGTTTGCGATGTCGAGATTGAGCCACCGCTGATGCCGCTGGGTGGTGAAGCCGTCTCTGGGGGCTCAGCTGACGGTGCTCGTGTGGATATACGGGCTCGTGGCTTCTGGACCAGGCAGCAAAACGCCTTTTTTGATGTACGGGTCACGCACCCAAGGCCGTCTTTGCTGTCTGGACCAGAAGTGTCGAGGCAGTTATCCCAACACGAGCGTCAGAAGAAACGTCAGTATTCCGATCGAATCAACCAGGTGGATCGAGGATCGTTCACTCCGCTTGTTTTCGCCACCAGTGGACAGTGTGCTCCCGAATGTGGCATCTTCCTCAAGACCCTCGCAACACAACTGCACCATAAGAACTCGGACATACCGTATCGTCTCATCATCAGCCACTTGCGCTCGAGAATCAGTCTATCTCTGATGCGGTGGCAGATTACTTGCTTCCGGGGGTCACGTGCATCATACCTACGCAGTGGATCCGGCATTGGCCGACATTGCTTTGTAACGGAGTGCCGTACATTGGCTCATATGCCGCGCTGATGGGCATCAATGGACTTGCCATATTATTGTCATTGGTTTCATTCTGTCTCAGAGTGTTCTTTTGTATTTGTTTTCGTTTTAAAAGCGTTTGAGCGGTTGGGTGAATGGAAACGTCACCGTACTGGTAGTAGCGATGCTTGGATGGTGTTTGCGGGTTTGCTCTTTGTTTTTGTATTCCCTAGTTGGCTTGATTCTTTTATTTTATTTTATTTTCTGATTGGATTTTCCTATTTATTTGATTTGATTTTTGCTAATTTCTTGAATGGTTTTGTCACCATTGCTTTTCTTGCTTGCGCTTTTCAGTTTCTTCTTTCTGATACCCGGTTTGTTTTCAAATAAAGGCGAAGTTCAGTAGTAGTAGTAGTAGTAGTAGTAGTAGTAGTAGTAGTAGTAGTAGTAGTAGTAGTAGTAGTAGTAGTAGTAGTAGTAGTAGTAGTAGTAGTAGTAGTAGTAGTAGTAGTAGTAGTAGTAGTAGTAGTAGTAGTAGTAGTAGTAGTAGTAGTAGTAGTAGTAGTAGTAGTAGTAGTAGTAGTAGTAGTAGTAGTAGTAGTAGTAGTAGTAGTAGTATTTATTATTTGACTAGGGGAGTCCCAACAGGCATGGCCTTGTTACAGGGAACCCTAGGTGAATCTTTGTGAGGTGAGCAAAAGTAACAGCATAGTGTACCTGACGACAGTTTGGAGGAAGGGTGTTCCACCGACCTGCCGCCAGAAAAGAAACTGAGCGCAGTCCATACCCAATATGTACCGTAGGTAATACTAAGGCAGCTGTATCCGGGCCACGAGTACGAGCATTTGTGTGCGGGCCAACTGAACGCAGGAGAAACAGTGACTGAAGGAGGGGGCTAGCAATTGATGACAAGCAGAGATAGACCAAAACGTATAGTTTCAAATTAACTCTTTGCTCAAACGAATACAGATGACACCGTTGTAAAACTAATGCAGTTGGGGTCATTCTATCTAAACCAAATGCCTTCTTCATCCCAATATGGCTGACCGTTACAAGCCTGTTATATAGGGTAGTTTTCAAACAGTGCACATACGCATTACTTGCATATTCTAGAGTAGACTGTATAATTGACAAGTAGAACGTTCTCCGAGCTGTAGCTGATGAATTGCGACGGCCATGAGCAAAACAGGCTAGTTTAGCGAAGACCGCTGAACACACCTTTTCTACTTGTGGGCGGAACGTTAGACGCTCATCGATTAGTATACAGAGGTATTTCACAGTAGAGACAGGGGAAATGACAATACCTTTACAGGTCAAGTACAGGGCTGGGCTCAGTGCAGGCAGGGCAGGACGCCGTATCAACATGAACTGTGTTTTATTGGGGTTGAGCAGGAGGCCTTTCTCATCAAGGTATTGCTCTAGCAACCACATACTATCCTGCAAGCGTAGGATAATTGTAGCCACATCAGAGCCGAATACGTAGAACGCAATATCATCAGCGTACAGCTGCACGACACTCTGGTGAAATATATCGGGTACCCGGCGAATGTAGACGCAGAAAAGCAAATGCCCAAGAACAGACCCTGGGGGACCCCTCTTGTACAGGGTTGGTGTGATCCTTCTAACCATTGACAGTAACCTGCTGGCTGCGGTTCGTGAGATAGTCTGAGAACCACTTGAGGACAGTGCCGCCTAGTGG